ACAACTGGATTCGAGTTTGCAATAATTGTGCCGCTATCTGTCGCTTGAATGTAGTGTCCTCTTGAAGAAAATGTTTAAGGGATAAACTGGAATGTCACAATAGCCATTACTGTGGTCAGTCATTTCCAATTCTTTCTCCCTCTGAAATTTTCTTGGTACTTCTTCGTTTCTTGTCGCATCTTTTTCTTGGTGGCACCTTTAGCTGATCTCTTTGGTGGCGAGCTGCCGCCGCCGCCGCTGGCTCTTTGTCTCAGCGAATTGACGTCTCCAGTGTCGGCATGTGCTTTTCGTTTCCGAGATCCTCCATGGAGGTTCCAGATTCCAACAACACTTGAAATTGGGATTACCGGTGGGCCTTTTACAGGAGGATACCGCTGCCTTACTATGTCTGACGCTCTTTGAGCGCCTGGGTCTAGTTCAGTTCTACTTTCTCTTCGATCGAGCGACCGGTTACCTCCTGAGGTCGAGGGCTGTGAAATATCAGGCCCAGACGAGAGACTAAAAGAACTAGCTGCAGCTCCAGAAGTTCTACGTGATAGTGTATTTGGATGTGTAGTATAAGATGTGGATGGCAAAGTCGCAGCCGAAGAGTAGCTAGAGGACCTGTGTTGGGTGATTCGAGTGGGAAGTGGGTTTGGAGTTGCAGAAACCCCTGGATTTGGAGCATGGCTTACAGCTTCTTTAACTCTAGTGGAAGCTACTGCGTTTGACGATCTGCTTACATTTTTTTCAACGCTAGGTTGAACCCCTGGTTTGGGAACTCTGCTCAATGTTGTTTCAACTCTAGGGGAAACCCCTGGGTTGGGAAGTCTGCTTACTGTTGTTTCAACTCTAGGGGAAACCCCTGGGTTCGGAACTCTGCTTACAGTTGTTTCAATTCTTCTGGAAACCCCTGGGTTTGGCACCCTGGTTACAGTTGTTTGAACTCTAGGTTGAACCCCTGGGTGTGGAACCCTGGTTGAAGTTGTTTCCTTAGGTGACTCTGTGGTTTCAGCTGGTGAAAATTCAATTTCAGCTGATGTGAATTCATGTTCAGCTGGTGACCATTCGCGCTCAGCTGGTGACCATTCACGCTCAGCTGGTGACCATCCATTTTCAACAGGCGACGCCGGAGATTTACTGGATTGCCGTTCTTGCTGGCGTAATTTAACAAAATGCTCCGCATTATGAGCCGCACTGTATTCGATAAGAGAAATGAAATGAGGATCCTGTGTGCCTATTTCAAGTCCGTTGTTACAATGTATCTCGTCTTCATTAGAAACTTCATTTTCGTCCAAAGAAGTGGTGATTGTTGAGGGAAATCTTGTGTCTAGTTTCATGATATTTTGGCCTGGTTCCATTTGTCTTCCCTGAAATGCACTGCCTTCAACTCGCTCACGATCACGATCACGATCACGATCACGATCACTATCTCGATCACGATCACGATGATCATAATCACCATCGCGGTGTGACGAATGGTACCTGCGATGTTCCCTCTGATTGCGGTTTGAATTTGACTCAACAGGGGCTCCATTTTTCTGTTCTCGCCTATGGTGACTCCTGTGGTGATGGTCCCTCTTCCTGATGTCTCGGTTTCCATGACGGCGAGGATCACTACGATGATCATCAGATCTCGAACGGTGTCTTGACACTTCCCTAGTCTCTTTTTGGTGACGATCTTTATATCGTACCCCTTCCTTCTCATGTTTCTGTCGTTCTTGCCTAGTACTGCGTGAGGAATTGACAATCATTTTCCCACTTTCTGCAGCATGGCCATCTCGCTGACCGTTACCAAGTAACGGTTCACTGCTGGCCATTTCTGCTGCCGACGTGTGAGCCCTTCGTTCCACAGTTGCCGACGGCTCTCTTCTACTGGTAGAAACTGGCTTCACTTGCCCTTCATTGCGTTCCACTGCTGAACCAGAGCAAGAACCTTCAAGAGGTGCATCCATCTGGTGTACACCAAAGTCATTGCTACTGGAACTGTTATCGTGAGAATCACTCGCTTGCGCTGAGATGTGTTTGGTCTTTGACCGAGGGTCTTTAGCAGGAGAATGGATGTCGTTGGTTAAGCGGATGGAAAGAACTGACCGCACCTCTCGTGGAGATTCAACAGGAAACAAGCAATGTCTCTCCTCTGCATCATCGACCAAGGCTTTCCAGTCGGGAGAACCTCCCTGCAAGACAACAAAGATAAGAGCATGTAACTTCCATAATTAACCGCGTAAACAATAGGAGAACAGCCGATATCGAAACCTCTTCATAACTCACAGAAAAAGTATTCATTTGAATACTTTTCCAAGATATACTGGAATCTTGCAATTGAAGAAACACATGCAAGGATATTTCCAATATTTTCCTACCTTGAGAGTTTTCATGTGACCAAAAACATAAAGCGCATGTCGTGCTCTTGTTAGGGCGACATTCATTCGTTGCTTATCACTAAGAAACCTACAAACGAAACGGATACGTGTTGAGTCAAAGGAGAAAACGATGAAGATGAAAATGTGGTGAGCTTGTGAATGTGATAAAATTCTGGGGTAAGGTATCTCGCGGTACACACAGAGCATTTAACAATTGTTTTACTTAGATGGCTTCCAAAAATGGTAGACCCATAACCCACGTAATCTCCGAACGTTCATTCTTATTAAGGAATCATGGAATAGTACCAATGTAATCATGTTAGTTTGGCTTCAGGGAGTGCTACTAGCTAATGAATGAATTAATGAATGAATGGATGGATGATGGATGGATGAATGAACGAATGAATGAGGTCTTTATTTCTTATTGAAAAAACGTCAGTCAGGAGACGTGAGTCTTTACAATCAAGTCCTGAATGAACGTAAGATATATACAATTTCAAATCTACGTTATTTAATTTAAAATCTACAACTTAAACTCTAAACAGAGAAAAATAGAAGTGGTTTCACACAATGGTAGGAGTGCTCGATACAAATGCATGCAGAGCGAAATACAAATCGAGATAGAAACTACAGTTACTCGAGTTTCACGCTTAAAGCGATCATCAGACTGTGCCCTTAGTGGCGACTGAAACTTAAAATCTATGTAATATGACCAAGAAAAACTGTTTACCCTATAGAACCAAAACAATTCTGTGCTCGAACACAACTCAAAATGATGACATCTTTCTCCCTTCCCTGAAAATGAAATAGTAACATGCAGCTTATTGAATGATCACAAAAGTCGCACAGTTACCACGATATACGAAAGTTCAAAACTTACCTGAAAGCCATCAACTGTGTTTACTTCAATTGTAGCTTCACCTCTGGATAAACCCCTAAAACAAGCACATACAACAGGGCGTCGACAAAACGAAACGTTTAAAAGCCAGGTGAAGCAAAAATGGAAAGCAAAGAGTGCAACTTTCCTTTCATATCGATAAGATTTCTGTTCTACACTTTGAAATTAAAGAACCTGTACAGTCGTTTCAGGGGAAGCAGAAAGCCTTGAAAAAAGGTCTATAGTGACTGAATACAGTGACAATATTGCAAGCCTTCATACTGACGAAAGTCATGGTGCCACATAACTAGAAATATCCTACTTGAAGCACTAGAAAACGTTTCCTTGTCTGTCTGTCTGTCTGNGACAGACAGACAGACAGACAGACAGACGGACAGACAGACAGACGGACAGAGTGACAGACAAGGGCAGAGGGGTTGGGGATGTATGAACTTAGTTGTCATATGGTATCTAAGACCGTGCTTTATGAAGTTCGCGCAGCAGGAAGTTAAAATATGACTAGTACTCAGCAGACTTTAGCAGTCAGACTGCACAGATGATCAATTCAAAGATGACCACTTCACAACCAAGTATGAGAAATTACAATAACGTTCAGCGAACAATTCTTGGGAAGAACAGTTGTACTAAGATTTGCAGTGCACCTTTACAAGTTGAGTAGTAAAGCAACACAAGAGCAGTTAGTCAACAGTATCTAACCTGTGGCTCCTGAGACAGTTGTTGTAAACATGGCTAGAAGGAAAGGCTGCAATTTCTGGATGCATTCGATACTGTTCCTCCAACATCAGTACTGGTTTCCCCATTTCTATGGATAATTTACACATTTTATATCCGTGCGAGCAGTGTGGCACAAAAGCCAATCATGATTATAATAAATATCAAAAAGATAACAGCCAAATAACGGAGCACCTGGTGCATGCTGAAGAAATAACAGACGTTACGTAGAAATTATTTCAGGGGAGAAGCCAATCGTTGAAAAAAACGCAGGGCAAGCGACCAAAACCTTTTCCCATTAAGCCAGACCGTGATACAGTGGTTTAAAGTTAGCGTATTGGCCTTGGACAAGGAACAAGTGTCGCCCCTGGTTGTTGAACGCAACCATGCTTGTTAAGATTCAGTTCCTCTCTTTTTTCTCTTGTTGACCATGATTTCAGGAAGAATACTGCTAAACGTTCGGTGTTTGGCTTTTAGTTACCCGTAAGTCCCTGTTGAAATAAAACCTGCACTGTTTTCAGGAACATACAAGTAAAAGAACGGAGTCGATGAGACAAACTGTTCATGCAGATATCCCTAAGTTGGAATATTGATAAGGAGCCAGCGCAATTTACTGGATTTTAGAGAACAGTGCTACAACTTAGGTATCCAATCAAGCATACAACTAAGATTCCTCTAATATTTACCCTCTTTGTGATGCCTGAAGAATCTGTAGAGTCTTTCAAACATGGATCGTCCATATAACTTCTCTTTTGCTTTCTACAAGACGTGCATTCAGTAGGGATAGAGTGAAAATACCATATCTTAGAATTTGGCAGTTAAGTATAAATTAACGCCCAAGTCGCTAGTGGAGGGAAGGTGCCTACGAAGCCCGGGGGCTGCAACCGCAGTCACATCCCCAAGGCGCTAGAACACCCGACTGGCCT